TTCGATCTTCATGTTATCGTAATTTTATTTACTCGTTAACATTAAATTTAAAATGGTTTATTAATATGTAAAAATATAACTTAATGTTATACTAATATATATTATTCTGCTATTACGTATATTATTGTATATTATTGTTGTTGTTGTATTAATATTCAGAACATGTTCGCGAATATACGCGACACTTTTACATTGGGACGAAATTAAAATAAATATCAATGCATGTAGTTAGTAACCGTTTGTCTTTCAAAAGACTGATGCAAAAAACCAAAATAGCTTTTTAAGTAAAATAGGTACAAATATAATAACATATATGATAGAATAAGTAGTAATATATAAATTATTACCGAAAATAAAATGATTACACACTTTTAAAAATATAAAACATTAAATTTCAGACTGACCTAAACTAGATTTTTAATCTAAACTAAGTATAAAACTTTAAATGCTTATTTCCAATACCTTACTAATATTTTATTCGTTTGGGACTATACGATAATATACTTTAATAGAATTGTACTCGCATGAACTCTCACCTCCAGCACAGCCTTTAACTTTGGAAGTGATCCAACAAAATTATATTATTGTAATATATTTTGTAAATTATACTTATAGGATAATTAATCAATTATTAAAGTTATTATTCAAATCTAAGGCACCAATTAATTTACAATGAATTGTTTTAATAAATATTATTGAATATGTCTATTATATTATGCATAATATAAAAGAAAACATTTCTCATCGAAATTTGAAAAAAAAATTATACTTGCATTTAATAATTTTTAAATCGGAAACTCACTGTACGTTTACATCAACTACATTGTGAATACATATTTTGACAAATATTTATTTTAACAAAATACGAGTAATATTTATTTAATGGACTGTGATCTTATCAATGGGGCACAACATGTCAAAACGGATAACGTCATATTACTATGCTCCAGGAGATTAGAAAAACGGTGGTCGTTCAGTCCGGGAACTGCGGTATTAAGCTAAACGCTTATTGAATAAATTACGTTATGAAATACCCGAAAGTTGAACCTATGTCCATATAATTTTATAATGTACACGGTGGTTTTATACATTTTGTGGATTATGCGTATTATTATCATTATTATTATTCATCGGACTTTGTAAAACTTGAACGTAATGGTATGATTTGTTTACACACAAAATCACACACTGCACATTTATTCGGAAATAAAATATGTAAGTATAAAAATAAAAGAAAACTTATAATAAAATTGTGTTCATTAGCTATAAAATATAATTTAAAAAAAAAAGGTTATATTCTATGATATTAATATTTTAAAATCTGTCATTCTTTAAATTACTTTGAAATACCATGGTAATTTAACTTTTCAATGAAACAAAAATTGATTGAAAAAAATAGCTGATGAAAAACAATAACCAATAATATGAGATTTAAGATTTATACAATTTGTTTATTTGTATTCTTTATTCAATCGTTAAGATTTTTATATTGATCTTATATAGTACCAATAAAATGTTTACTTTCAATATTTATGTCATCTAAACTTGAGTATATAAATAAATGAATATATTTTGATATAATATAATTCATATGAAAAATTGAAAGTTTTATTATTCTGTAATATTTTCCATATATTACTTAATTAATAAACTTAAAAATTATTATTATGTAATATGAAAACAACCTTGTAACATGCACTAATTATACCTGAATTGATAAACGTTATTAAGAAGCCCAATTTTTAAATTTTTCATATTAGAATATATATATTTCTATGTGCATATAGTGGAACACAGTATTTGAATATACTTTATTAAGCCAAACAAAAATTTAAAACTATTTAAATTCTTTATAAATACAAAGCTTAATTACATTTGGAGATACTCAAACTGTTGATAACGTCAACACGCAAAAATGGAATGTCACTTATTTCCTTTAAAACTATGGTACTAATAATTTTTTTTTTTTTTAAATTGTTTTCCAAGCATCAAAAACTGTAATTTTGTTTTATAACTTAAAACCATAATATTATTTAACTGTATTTAAAAAATACTTTTAAGAGAATCGTTTCCACACATTCTTCTTTGTTTTTGACCAACTGATAGTTTTCTTGTAAATGACAACAAATAACTTAAAATATAAAGTGAACACAACGCTATTAAGAAACATTTTTCCCTTGTATTTTTTTAGACATTGTATACCTAAACCAAGCACAATCATGGTTATGATAATGACGAAAATTGACACAACTACACATCATATAATTTATATTATTATATATATTATTATTATTATTATTATTAACATGATCTAATATTGGGTCCGCAATACCTGTACTAAAAATGATGGGTCTTCTTTATTAGTTGGGGTGGAACATTTGAATCTTTAACGTTAAAATGACAACATACACATAGGTATAAATGCTATAAAAAATGTGCTTGATTTAAATTATTCTTATTAAATTAATACCAATAATTGATATTCATTTAATAAGAATAAAAATAAAAAAAATATAAAAAATTTTATTATTATTATTAAAATTATTTTAGTTTACATGTTTTGCATATATAATGCATATTTGTAATTTAATAGTGAAAAATATAGTTAATAAATACCATATATTAATGTCAAATAGTTTTGTCTCAATCGTCCGCGTTGGAATGAATTTATAAATATGAATTAAATACGAAGACTAATAATACATTTTTATTTTTATAAATGAAGGATAATTTTTCGTTGACTTACTCAGTCTTACTAGTAAAATTAAGAATTCTATTGGTGAAAACAACTATTTTTTATTCTTAGAACCGAAGATCAATCAGGTACAAGAAGCCCCGATCGATATCGTTTATTTAAAGTTAATATTTACAAATATATCTCCTCCACGAAGGGTCACGCACTTGTTAGAAAATCGAAATACCTCTCGTGAAGTGACCGTGACTGCACTACATTGTTATAATATTGTATCTGATGCTGTTTGTCCTTTGTATTGTCTTCTCAGCCCGGTGTCTACACCCGCCAGCCCTAATATCACATCTTGTTCCAGTACGTTTAACGTGGCCTCTACCACCCTGGTGCCTGACTTCGAGAGTGTGGAGTCCAAGACGAATCGACGATCCCTGACCAAGCTCGCCTCCGCCGGGAGCATATAGTACATGCGTATACCCTGCCTAAGTTCCGTTTACTTAGATCGTCATTTTCTTTCACCTTTATCTTCAACCGGCTCGCGAAACCCACCAACCTGGTTGTATCCTGACCTCTCTTTCCACTCTTATCTCATCCTCCTACTTCCTGGACAAGGCTGTTCCCACCATCTTAATGAACGTTTGTCTTCCACGTGACCATGCCGATATAAGACGTTCGTACCGGACAGGTTTCTGGTCTCGCTCTCGAAGATCACGAGGTTCGCAAATCAGGTCTTCGACCTACGGAGCACATACACGTCCCCAGGGAAGGCAAGACGGGGCACTTGACCCCCCTAGAATTTTAAATTTGTTTTCTATCTGTAACGTGCCAATTTAGTAAACATACAAGTAGATTATTTTAATATAACATATATATTATGTATAGTAGAAAACATAAATAATAATTGGATTATGTTATCTTATCATACGAGTATATCTTATATTCGAGGAAAAAGAATAATTTATTAATAAAAGGTGTAAGTATAAAATGTAGAAAAAAATCTTCATTTATTTTTCAAATTAATTTTGCCCCTTCCCCCTCCTAAAAAAATTTCTGAGGACGCCCATATGCTCCGCGATTTCTTGATATTTGCCACATAAGGTGTTCGGGTCTCTGTTCATCGGATGTAGACGGTGACGGATACATCCGTGTGCGATCAGTGCAGTTGGTTACGACCGTCGTCTCTAGTCTCCCAAGCCATCCCTGCACACTCGGAGTATGCGTTCGCGTAACCATCGTTTCTGTTGTCCCATCTTGCCTGCCACGCATTAATGGTGACATCCATTCTTCTCAATTGATGTCGACTACGCATGTTTCACGACCCACATCGTGCGACTGTCGCGAACGGTTTCGCTGGACCACCTGTAGGTCACCCGGTGTTGCAGTAGTAACGCTCCTTCCTTTGGAACCGTCCTGTGCGTGTCCGGATCAGGGACTAAAATTGTGTGCAATACGACACATATTGTGTAATACGAAATGTTAAGTATGAGTACGAAATTAAAAAGTGTATTGTGGTTCTATTCTCTATATTATGATATTTGTTTTTAATTTTACATTTTTTTTTATTAAATTGTTTTACATATTTTTAAAATTCCAAGATATATCATCAGCAAAATCTAAAATACCAACTACTTTAACTGTATTACTTATTACTTTTGAACGAGGAGTATGACAAAATCCTTAAGTGTGCAGTACGAAAAATAATATATTTTAACCTCTGTTCTGGATCATTCTTAATGCCACCTGTCTCTGTGCACGGCTTATCGTTAATATGCAATTTGCCGTGCGAGTGACCTGTTCGGCCAATATCGATGACAATGTTGTTGTTGCCTGTTCGACACCGACGGGCCCTCGAGTATAGACATGAACCACCCTATAGATCGCGCTCATTGTTGATGTTCGACTGAAGGATACTAGACACCAACAGCAACTACTAGCAATTGAGTTTTCAAAAACCCTTTATTCCACAATTATTTCTAATTCAATTGATTATTTTCAAATAGGCATATTAAATATTTTGAGTGCATATTTTGAAGCATATTACAATTTCTCAGAGACATATTTTGAAGGTTGTTTTGAAATTTTTTTTTTTTTTTTGTAAGCTACATAAATCCATTATCAGTTATAAATAAATTATTAGATCGAGTTGTAGAAGATTGTGTTTGATGTTTTGGTACATTTTGTGTAATCATGCTATAATATACTTATAACATAATAATAACCATAAATTTAAATATTACAGATCAGTGCCACTGTATTGAAATAATTGTTTTTTTTTTTTTCTAAAAATGTTGTTTTAATTTTGATTTTTCAGTGATGGCCGTGAACGGGCCCTGGCTGAACGTATCGAAAGTGAACCGTTCGCACATGGGCGCGTATCTGTGCATAGCGTCCAATGGAATCCCACCGTCTGTCAGCAAACGTATCATGCTCATCATACAGTGTGAGTGAAACAAATTAACCGTTTGTGTGCTCCTATATATGTACACGATCACATACATTATGCAAAACGCATGTAACGCGTGTGTGTCCTTATTACACTCGCCAAGCGGCATACGTGTACGCACGTAGGGTGGTGTAAATATTGTTGTTCACCAAGGATTATTGGATTTGATTGTAACAATTTATTCTTTATACGTGTTTTACTTTTTTTTCAACAGTCCCTCCCATGATATGGATACCAAATCAGCTCGTTGGCGCACAAGAAGGTCAATCGGTCACTATGGAATGTATATCCGAAGCGTATCCCAAATCAATCGATTACTGGACAAAAGATAAAACGACCATCATATCAAATGGTTAGTAGAATACTGAAAACGCATCATACCCATTTCATATATATATATTATAATACACTTATATTATTTTAATATGAAAACACATTTTTTTACGGCTTATTGTTCTTTTTGTTTTATTTTTTTTATTTTTTGTTCTTTGTTTCAAATTTCGTACTCGTTATTGAAATAACATTTCAATAGCAAAATACATATGAATAATTTTATTAATCGAATCACTTTACGCAAATATCATCCCTATTACACATACTCCCATGCCAATACAATACAGTTTGATTTCGATTCGCTTGAAAATCGGGTGCGAAAACTCTATACATATAATATTATGGAGGTATCATGGTGTGCAAAACGGTAAACCGTCATAAATATAAATACCGAAACACTCAAAGGTACGACTGTGTAACCCATAATACACACACACACACACATACATATAAATACTTAACCTGTGCACTAATAAATCGTAAATGACGTTATTGTAACACAAGTAATATACATATAAAATGAGAATTATAAAATAGTTCACGGATTATATAACCTACTATAGTAATAAATTGAATTAATACCTACGTTATAAGTGATTACTATGGCTCTGTTTTGAATGCCAAATGTATTATTTTTTTAAATGCTTTAGTATTCTACTTAGAATATTTAATTCCAATACTTACAGCTACGGTAGTTTTATGTAATTTTCAAAATATTTTTCGTTATAATATATTGTATGAAACAAAAAAATATCTTATCAATTTTTTTTAAAATTTGAAAGAAAACGTTTACTTCTTGAATCAACAATGTCATTTTCCATTACCAAGACATTATAATTCGTACCATTAATATTACTCCAAAACAAAGTCTCGGTAACCCTAAGTACAAGAAGATGGAAAATAATAATTTAAAACATCGAAACTTTCGAACTATCAAATTCAAGTGTCCTACATAGAATCCAATAAAAATACAAAAACACACAATTTTTAATTAATCACAGCTTGCTCGTACATAAGAATCGATTTTTAAACCTGCATTTATGGAAGAGCTCTCCAATCAAGATACTGCCAGGGGTGCCATTTGAGGTATAGCTGGTTATACATTGGCGGCCCTATTTTTCCCCGTATCATAATTTGCCTGCCTTAATTTCATTCTGACGTCGATGCCCGATGTATCAGAGTTAAATTTAATTAATTAATATTTGAATTGTGCTTATAGATGATAGCGTAATCTAGATTACATAACAGCATATTAAATACAAAAAAAAATATAGCTTGCTAATAATTACTGTAATCCAAAATAAGTATAAATTCTATCGGGAGCATAGTGATCTCTTTTAATTCTGCCGTTTTTTTTTTTGCTATTTGCTATTTTCTTTTTGCAGATTTATTTTTCATTCCTAATAGTAAAGTAATAAATAACTTCAATATAAGCTTCATATTTACATTCAAATTTTTATTGTTATAACTGTGGCCTGGTAAAAAATTTAGCAGCCCTATTTTAAAACTAAAATGGCACCTCTGAATACTATCTTGGTCATGTTATAACAATCGTTACACAAATATTTTTTTGTCTCAAATCATTAAGCATTATTGACCAATATTTTACAACTAAAATATACATTTACTTTATTGTGTTTGCTTAACTCAGTTGCACCTTCGATTTGCTTAGTAACTAAAAACTTACAATTTTCAACACGAAGTCTCTTATTCCTTAAATTTTTTACGGTTTAGAATAATGTGTTTCCTATACTGTATATATTTGCCACCATATAAAAAAATAGAAAAAAAATTAATTTATTTTAATAACCAGCTATTATAAAAACAAAAAACCTTTCAACAATTTTCACTTATAAATATGAATAACTATTCAAAATGTAATTATAAAAGTCTTAAATTTCACTTTTTACATATTTCCAATCGATTTTGTTTGAAGTTTTGAACTAAATTTTATAGTTATATATAATAAGTATTATTCAACTAAGTACTCGTATAATTAATAACACCAATTTTTTTTCTAATATTATAGGTACATAGTTTTTGATTTTATTCAAAGTAGTTCATAAAAAATAAATATGAATCGGACTTTTAAATAAAATTCCCCTAAAAGGATAGCAGCGCTTATATTAGTGGTTTAGTGTTTAAATATATGGCAATTTCACTGATCCATATTATGTGCATATATTATGTATACACTAAGCTTCACATATTATGAAAATCTACTATTAAAATATAATGACGGTATTAATATTAAAATCAAAAAATATTTTGAAACATAGTTTGGATATAATTAAATATCGGTTAACTTAATTTATTTATTCATATATATGTATTACATTCGTATACATTCATATACAGATATCGATTAAGTATCTTCTGATGTATAAAAGTTAATTATTAGGCTATAATAATGTATAAAATAATGTATAAACATAAATTAATAAAATGTGATGGTTATAACTTTATAATTATGTAGACTATTCGGAATAAAATATACAAATAGAAATAATTTAAAACTAAAAGTACTGAGTTTGAACAACAAATTGAATAAAAATACTTCACGTAGTTTTTATGTAGAAAAATGTAGCAAAAGCAAATTAAAAATCATTGGTGTGTACAAAATAAAGGTGTACATAAAAATCCCATAAAAATTAATCTAATAACTTAACTACTAGCTTGTTGTGAAGAAAATTAAGTTTTATCAACGTACATAAAATTTCACCGAATAATACGCACGAGTATAAATTATTAATAAACATATATATATATATATATATATATATAAAACCGTTACACTAAATAGTGTAGGAAATTAAATAAAACAAAAATTAAATATTTTAGACCATTCCAGGAACCCTACATGTTATAATTGTTATCATTGTTTTATCGACCTTTTCATTTGCAACTGAACGTATTCTATTCAGTGACATATATTTGGCATATATTCGGTGAGAAGACTTCCTCCACAATGAAAAAATTATATTTACAACCAAATATATTATAATTTAAAATCATATAGTGCTTACACTTACAATACTTTCGTTGATCTATAGAGCGTTTCATCCAGGGCGAAATGTGAGTATCTCATCATCTTAAGAAAATAAGTAATAGTAATTCATAAATAACTTGCTACATAAACTATAATAGTAACAAGATACAAATATTCATTTTTGAATTTGAATGAAATTATTATTAGTTCATAAATCTTAGGTACCTATGAAACATTTGAAACCTTACCGAAAAAAATGATCTTGATTATATAATTATTATTATTATTACTTTTTTTATTATTACAACGATGAACGTTATATGTATAGAATATCGTTTACAACCGATGGAGCCATATAACCAATCGATTTAATGACAAAACGAAATAACATCTATGCATAAATTCCCGTGATACCTCGAGCGTCAGTGTTTAGTTTGATATTGTGGCCCAGCGGCGAGATCCAATTGTTTTCTAGCTCGTTAAATCCACTTACCTCCAGATTGTCACGGCTGTAACGATTCGGTCGGATGAACTACGGATTTTTAGGGAATCGATCACATTGTATAGATTGCCGACGGCTCTTTATTCGAAACCATTTTCTTCCTACGATCACCAAGTCTTGTCAATCCGACGCCACAAAAGTTTCCGACTAATCCCCGGGCAGAGCGTTTTCTCTTAAAAACGTCAAAAGTTACAATAATATTCAATTTCTTCTATTTTTTCTCAATAATACTATTTGCGTTCGGTTTTTCATCACGAAACTATTACTTTTAAATTGCAGTGTAAGGTGTGTTTTACTTTTCAGGTACCAAATACCACACAGAACTGTTGGACAACGCGTACAAAACGCATATGAAACTGACAATCATATCGGTAACGTTCTCCGATTACGGATCTTACCAGTGCATATCGAAAAACTCATTGGGTGACACGGACGGTACGATTAAACTTTACGGTACGTAAAATACAATAACTTTAACGAAATCAAGTAGCTGTATGTCTTAACCCATGCAATCGCATTTTTCGATCGTTTCTGTACAGGGTCCATATCAAAGTGGCAAAGTTTTCAAATGCAACTGATGGTAACCTTCTAGTCCCGGGGCGATAAAAGTATCATAACAAAATATTATGTTCACTTTACCAAAATAAATAACTGTTCGCTTAAAAACAAATAAACGAATCTACACCCCTTGAAGTTCCTAACCTATATACGTTAAACCTGTAACTTATAAAAAAATAGTATTTTATAATTTAATAATAATAAATTAATTTTTGTAATATTTATGAACATATTTTACATAGGTAAACATAGAAATTATTGTATTATTTAATTCTGTTGATAAATTATCCACAAATTTGTTTTGATTATTAAAAGCTTTATTTTAATAAACAGTAATCGGCAGGGTGAATAGATAGTTTTTTTTTTTGAAACCAAAAGTTTCAGCGGAATCAATAAATTCTCTCTCAGCCGACCCAGGAGCTTCGTCCTTTATTTATTGTGATTTTTTTGTTTATGATTAAAATTTTAAATATTCATTTACAGTCTCATATAAATATAATATAGTACATTTTTCATAGTATCGAATATTTTAATTGTAGATTATATTTTCATGATATCTTAAATGTTACAAGAATAAATTTAATAAAATCAAAACAAAGTTTTTATGGTCGGCCCGAGAAAATAAAATTACAATCAAACTATAAGTTTTCTTTATAATTAGTTAACTGCATTATCATTCAATTATGGGATTCACATAGTATTATTATTAGAATTTCATATTGGATCAGAGAAAATCTGGGAAAATTGTATTTTTTTGAAATAATTATTTCTATAAGATGAAAAATAGTTTCGCTAAGTCTTTGTAGCCTTAATTTAATACGAGAAACTAGATTAATGTATTTTCAGGGAAAACTTTTTGATGTTAAGAAGGATTTATAAACATGAAATATTAAAAGAAATTGCAAATAACTATAACTATTGGGAGCTCAGAGTTGTAAACATTTTTAATAAATACAGACAGAAGTTATCGTTCATAACAAATGCAGCTAATAAGACTTTTTATATTTTTTAGTCCTTCACGGAGCGTTAACGAGTATTGAATCAGTTTTTATAATATACACATTCGAAATTACATTAATTTTTATAAGACGTTTAGTGAAAAATACTAAACGAAGTTATAAGAAATTTGATTACACGTTGTATAATTTTTCATTGTTACAAAATGAGTGTGCTAACGAATTTTGTCATCAATATTTAAATTGGAGAGAAATGATTTTTTATGAAATCTTCAAACTAATAGCCGGTATATTTTATTATACACCCAGAAGTGTACATGAACAGTATTTATTTACTGTCTCCGTAAATTCGTTTAATGAAAACTGTTAGTGCACTTTCGAAATCCTATATTGCCCGGATTTTCGAAATTCTAAAACATTTAATAGTTAACTAGTGACGCATTAATAATCTTGTGGTTCGCAGATTATCCGAACCCCTCACCTGACATTAATCTAATATGTTTGTCGGAAAATCCGTTATACAAAATGTGTATTAAAATAATTATATAACGGTGACCTGATTCGCAAAAGTTATAAGCCCAAAATGATAAATTTTATAGGAGATGAAAAAACAGTTTAGTAAATTCATATTACTTCATTAAATTCACAGAAGTCGTTAGTTCAGTATAATAAATTATATGGCATTTTATAGATACAACAATTCCGAGGTATAATAGTCTTACATCGATGAGATACAATGATTTATTATTATATATTAATAAATATTTATTAATTTCATTCATCATACAATTTTTGCAATGCAATTTTTTGACCCCTTATTTCATAATCATCACAAAATGATAGATAATTTGATTACGACTTATGCAAATTAGACTAACGATGAGTCACACTGTGTTTGAAATACTATTTGGATTGAATTTTTTATTTTATTTTTTGATAACCTAAAGCCGACAACATAATAATAAGTTTACAACATTTATACTGTAATAATCAATGGTGAACCACTAAACCGTTGTGACGCAGCGTTTGAAAGTGTAGACATTGTAAACATGCATTTATGTTTTGATCCTAAGAAGACGTATGCTAAACAATGTTTCTGAATGTACGGGTTCATGGGTAAAATTTATTCAAACACGTTAACGTTAACAGACAAAACGATGCGCAGCTAGTACATCGCGTGTAATTAATTACTCTGCTGTATAAAACATAAATTATCCTATAAAGTTACCTGTACTCTGTAGGGTGAAATCTAGCTAGAGTAGACTTAGTTTAGTAAGATTGCTCTAGCTGAGTAAATACACAATAAAGATATTTAAAGAAATTCGCTCTAGATAGAGCAGTCTCTGAGAATGCGTAGAGCCAATCCACCAAGATCAGTCTATGATCTATGTATGCTTGTACATAATTTATTACATTTCGTACTTTTCTCTCGAGAGCATTTAGAGCGTATTTAATGATAATACTTCGTACGAAAAACGTCAGACCGAAAACACGTTGCAGCTGCAATTATAGTTTGTAGATTGATTAAAACAAAAGGGGAAATAAATAAATAAATAGATAAACAAATGTATCTCCATACATTTGACCATTAATTGTCTGTTTCTGTATTCTTTTAATGAACAATTCCAAAATCCAGGAGACGACTCAATAAGTTCTGTTACCTGATGAGTTTTCCGTTTGTCCTACACAAAATCACTCGTCATAAATAATTATTAATTATTATTTTTATAATTTTTTAATTAGTTATTATTTTTCACTTATTTTTCATAAGTAAATATTAAACAATATAACTTAAAAAAATTTGTTTTAGCAATATAACGTGTTTATATACTTTAAATATTATAAACAATATAGGAAAAACAACTGTATATTGTAATATATGATAATATGTTATCAATATTGATTATCATTTTACAGGTATATTATTGCTATGTTATTTTCCTGCGCTCTACTTGTACTCTATTTAATCTATTTAGCATGTTGAATAGAGCCAGACTACTACTCTAGTTATAGTTTGATATCTTTGTGTACACTGTTCATAATTGTTTACTTTATCTAGACTTTGTTGGTCTAGTTAGAGTCAAAAGAAACAACTTCTAGAGATCTGTAGATTCTGTGTACACTACCTAAATTAAGCGTAGACAGCTCTAGCTAAAGTAAATCTGCGAAAAAAAATCTACAGTGTACAGGTACCTTGATAGAAATTTGTTGATCCATCCGATTTCACAAAAATATAATTTTGTAAAACGTATCTACAAAACATTCATATGACTTTCCAGTATTTATTTTTTTTTTTTTTTTTTAGCTAAAAAGGAAATTTTTTGAAACATCATATATCCAATTTATAAATTTTAATTATTAAAATTGAAAGTTATATGAATTTTGAACAGCAAAAATGTAGCGAATTTTCCTAATTTTTATCGTTTAGTCAATAATTAATTTTCAATCGCTCGTATTTTTTTTTTCAAATTAATCAAATTAAGATCAATATTTTTTTATAAATGAATAATAGCTATTTATGAGAAAATTAAATTTTACAGAGTTTTTATACATACACACACACACACATACACACACACACAAAACACGATATTTTTCTCTTACGCCCTTGTAACTATTATTTATCCCGTGCCTCAAAACTTAAAAAAAATTTTTTTTTTTTGTTACAATGTAGTTTATAATTTCACGCAAAAATCAACTTTAAAGCTTAAACTTTTTTGTTTTAAAATACATAGCAAGACTGCATTCTTATTTATATCTGTCAAACTAAAGACTCTATTAATGTTACAACCCCTATAAAATTTCTTTGGCTTATGACGAAATTTTTTTAATAATCACTGAAGTATTATACTACTGAAGCAACATAGATTGATGTTTGAAAACTTTTTTTAATCGGTAGAATTTGTCAAAAGAAATATCAGAAGAATCCGTTATAGTTCTAGACTTGTATTGATCTAATTAGAGAATGTTCATATTTTCACATCGTTATCTTATTATATTAATTTATGCATATATATGTATATTATATGTTAAAAATCAGTTGGGTGGTAATTTATATCCATTTACTCGAATATACACATTACTCATGTTTTTTTTTATGATTTATTATTTGATTATATTATATAATATTTTATAATGCTCAGCTGTACCCAAGCCCACGACAACGACGACGACGACGACGACGACGACAACCACCACCATGACTTCAACGATTACAAGTATTACGACCACGATGCCCTCTACAACAGTTCTGTGGTGGACGACAGCTTTACCGAAAAAATCTTCAAAATACGGTGGAAGAGGTAAAGAAAACACTGTTTTCATAACATTAAAAAATATTCCTTTCTTTTTGCTCTGTGTCCCCGACTTCCAAGTTATTGGCCGAATGCCTAAAAACTTTTTCTATTCTACTGTATTTTTACGCGTGCACACACATGTTCCATGATAAATATATGCACATATACTTGTAAATTATGTTAATACATAAATATATATATATATATATATATATATATATATCTGTATGTCACGTATATGTATGTATGTTTGTGTGTGTGTGTGTGTTTGGTGTGCGTGAATTTTTGTGAGCTTGTGTGTATATCTGAGACCATCAACCGCCCATTTTCTTCCTGTGCGATTTAACGATTTATGTCTTCGTACATTTATTATTACACATGAATATTTATATGTAGTACGGTATAAACGATGTGCATTTGCGATATTTGTTTGTTCGAGATTTTTTTTTAATGCCGAATAAATATATATATATTTATATATAGCACCCATCAACGAGGTAGACTGGATGCAGTCGTCGAAGAAGACCGGAAAACACCAAGACGCCACGGTCACTAATAAGAGAGAGTCGACGGAAGATCAACAAAGTTCTCGGACAGCCGCCGCTGCCGGTAAGTTCGTGTGTGTGCGTGTACACAAGAGTACGTGCGTTTGAGTGTGTTTGAGTATGTGTTTGGGTGTGCAACCGATAACGTGCGATAAACACGCCCATTAGTGTCTTCGCCGAAGCTACACGCGAAACGTACGACGTAACCGTTTGATTTATACCGACGACCGGGTTAGCGGTGCTCGGTGAGAGTGTGCATGGAGCAAAAGCACTGCGGTGGGACCAATCCGTACGACCCTTTTGTTTTGTTTACACTGTATAAATCACCCTTCTGCTCGAAGAAATATATTTATTTTTTACATTTTTTTTTCTTCTTCCAATCGAATTCTTCATCTACAGGCTCAGCGGGTTTTTTTCACTTTAACTCGCATTTCAAAACCTGGTTCTTATTTCTCGTTTCGTCAAAAATAAATACATTTTTTCCCCGACGTATGTTCAAAATTCCTACTCCCATCCGCCGGCCAATAACCGCATAAAGTATTTGTACATAGACTGCATTTATATACGTTGATACGATAAATCAACCCTCATTGTGTTACCTATTACGTTCACTAAGGTTAACCGTCTAGCGGCAGAAACTTTATATATAACGATCTAATATATATATATTACCGACAATATGGATAATTCAGGTATTTTGCAAAATGCCTAGGCATTATGCAAAATTCCAATTTTTTTTAGGCACAGTACAAAATATTTTATTATATGTTATATTATAGACAAAATTTAATTTTTATCTATTATTATATTATGACTATTATATAAATATTTTACTTAAGCTACTATTTACTTATTATTATAAGATGTTGTAAAAAAGTAACATTTTGAAATGCACAAAATTATTAAATTAATTGTTATTTTTAAGGCAAATACACTTTTTATTTTGACACACTTACAAACACATTTTAAAAATCTTTGGCCAATTCTTGTGAATTGAACTTTTATCAACTCATTATACTGTTCATCAGATAAAAAACTAGTATTAGCGGCTACATTTTTAAAAACAATTTTGTAGTTTTTTATAAAACTTTGACTTCATATAAATCGTATGCATAATTGCAACACCATAACGAGACACGAAAATGACGAAAAAAATAACGAAATTGTAATAAATTGTAATAATGTATTAGTATGTTCAATAATGTACCTCAGAATTATTATTATAGTAGTAAAAGGATATTAATCTTTATTGCGTTAAATCGTGCACGCCCATTTATGATAAACAATAAGTAAAATCGTTGGTAATAGGCGATGCCCAAATTTGTTTATTTTCATCATATTGCTTACTCCACGTTTGGCATTATATATAATACCTAAGCAACGCTCGTATTATGTTTATTGCCAAGTGATTTTTGGCATTTTATATAATGCCTAGGCACTTTGCAAAATACCGAATTATCCATATTTCCGGTAACATATATATATATATATATATGTGTATTTATTTATTTATACTTACGTATTTAGGCGAGTATTCGACTGTCCACTGATGTATTAGGGCCATGAGACTTATATTAACACTAAAGACCGGATATAATTGCATTAAAAAGATGCCAAAATTGTAGTGTAAATATGTTGAAATTGCAATGAAATATACATAAAAATTACATAGTAAAATCATATCAAATATATAATAATTAATTACTTACTTAAATAATATTATGGATATTAATAAAATATTTACAATATATATAATTTTTCTGAATTAAAATTTATAAATATTTACATCTCTAAATTGTGTTCTTGAAAATTGTATCGTCTCTTACTTAAAATATGTTTATATTATGAAAAAGTACGTTCAACGTTTACACTTATTATCGATGCACATTTAAAATAATTCAAAAAATTTGTTGTTGTATCTAAATTAACATTTTGATTTCCTGCCATAACCTCAAAGTAAGTTTTAATAATTTCTATATTCTTAATTTTTTTTAAGACATATTTTAATTTATCATTAAATATTTTTCTATTGGGACCGAGAATATTTATCGAAATATTTTCAATTTCACTGAATATGTTTAAACTATTAAGTAATTAACTATTTGACTCTTCTAAAGTTGGGAGTTTTTCAAATAACTTAGATAAATATAATTTTAAAAATGCTAAACTACATTTAACTACATGTAAAAAGTTATGTCGTAGTTATATTTTAATAGTGAAATCACTTAAGAAGTAATAATTTGTATATTTTATCACTGAAGTATACAAAAATTGCAATAATTACAAAAGTTGCAAAATCGTTGAAAATTGCAAAAAATTAAATTCTTAAGTTAAACAGGAAGACTTTAATTAATCTGATTTGTATACATGTTTGTTCAGATTTGATTTACCTCTTATCAATAAAAAGTTGCAATATTTATTGAATCCGGTCTTTAATTATCACGTTTACATAAATCGTGCAATACACACACCATTTTCTTATTACGTCTATCATTACCATCCAAACGCATAACCTCCATCTCACAATCATCCTGCGTCTTAATAAAACTTTAAATCTCTTATTGGGTCCACACTCGATCGTTAGATATTTCGCAGAACTTAAACACTGAAGTACCTCTTGTGGGGCGTTTTGCCGATCTATAATAACCGAGTTATAATAACATAAGTCAACATCAACGCAATTCTTGACGAAACCAAACGAGTCGAAGTCGGTAGCAATAATAATAGTAACAATATTTAGTTTTAAACAATTTAGTAATATGCATGAATTCGTTTTTTTACTTTTACATTTTATGGTAGACATAAATTATATTTTAACATTCATACCTTTACGTAAATCAACACTTTTATATAGTTCAATCACTTTGTTCTAATTAAGTTGGGAAAAACTTCTTTTTTTTTTTGATTTTTGGTTATTTTAAATGTGATTTTAAATAGAATATGTTAACATCATAAATTCAACCGAATATTATTTAATATAATTATATTTAATAAATAAGTATCATTATGGTTACAATAAAACCTCAATAAGACGGAATCACTAGGTATCATATAATTTTTTCGTGTTAAATTTATATTTTTTAGAATAAATCAGTGGTTGATTTTTGCTTTTTACTTAGAAAGGCTTTACGTTCTACACACATACCTACTCCAGGCCCTATTATTTGTACAATTTCGGACTGCACACTTGATTTTACTGCTATAAATGAAAATTTAGTCTAGCTACTGTCTTAGAAAAAAGAATATATTACAAACATAATATATATATATATATGTTGTTTGGGCCAAAACGACGATCGAAGGACCAGTCACATTGACATATAAATATAAAAATATAATTTGTATGTGGTGGGTGCCTAGAATTTGTGGGCTAAGCAATTCCACTTACTCCCCGCGATAATATTGGAGGTAGGCAACTCAAGGTTCGCAATTGACCGATAGCGTTCGGCGGCGGCTCTGGCACGACGGCGGCACCCGAAAGGAATGGAAACAATTTAGTTATCCAAGGGAAAAAGGAATTTTAGTTTAATTATCGGGGGGGAAGTCTCTGTGATCGAATCGTTCTGGTGCAATGACCACAGAGCTCACACACAAATCGGACGAAATACTAAAATTAAACAATAAGGCCACACTTAAAAACTAACACTTACAACAATTTTGACGGCTGACGCTGGTAACTAAAATGGTAACGATGATTGAAGAATTCACGATGGATTACTGGAACAGGAATTGAACATCACAATACACACGACGACATATTCAATACAGATTATTGGTAATCAAATTAATTTATTGGTAACATGAAGTTAAATATTTGACACAAATCGATTTGTACGGCGATGGCCAGTGACAATAATAATAATAATGAATATTTATAATACTATAATAATAATAAGAAAGAATTCATTCAATATGAATAATACAAAATATCTCAATGACGAGAGACAAAAAAAAGTTACGTGGTGTTACAATAACGACCGAAAAACAAAACGTGGACGAACGAATGTGCCGGCAATGCAATATCACGACCGACACAAAAACAAAAAAAATACAAAAATAACGTGATTACAATAATTATCAACTGAAGAAAACGAAAACAAAGATACGGATGCACGGTAAATGGTGCATCGCGTAACATATACATCATTTTCATATAATAATAATAATAATAATTAAATGTGCGCGGCCTTATCGCGTACAGCGCAAACATATGTATTAAATTTTAAAATATTCAATAATACTCATATTTCCTAGTAGTTGGCTTATAATTTAATTTTTATTTTGTAAACCGTAGCCTACACACGTTAAAACCGTAGTGCACATTTGTACATTCGTGGTGCACATTGTGCGTCGGGGTGCACATAAAAATAGGACCTGACATACTCTTGAAATAAAATTCAAAAACTCAGTATTCGACACTAACGGGGAAAATGTTTGTAATTTCTCGAAATAACACCTAACAATTTTTTATCTTTTATCAGATTTTCTGGTTCTATGTATTTTTTGTCATTGACAGTCTCTTCATCGTTTTCATTTTGATCCTCAACTATATATATATAGCCGAATCATGGATTTGCTGTGTCTCAAATAGGTCACCAAAGCGACGAAATTTTTCTGATTCAACATCAATGAAACAAAACAGTCTTGAATTTTATTCAGGAAATGGATATTGCAACACAATAATCAAATTGAAAATCAATCTAAGTTTAGCTTTTCGTGTTATACTCGTATTTTCCGTCTTAGTGAGAGTTTTCAGCCAATTTCAATACGGAAACGTGTTTGATTCCGGCTTAGTGAGGTTTCCATCTTGGCGGGATGAATTCATTGTGTATTTGAAACGGAACCAAAGAAATTGTCCATATCAACGTAGTTTCCGCCTTAAAAAAGTTCCGTCTAGTCGAGGTTTTACTGTATTATGTTTTATTCTTCATGTTCTAATTCAGAATATTTTTAGTAGAATTTTTTAGAGCATTAATCTATAATCCCTAATAAGGATAAATTGTGTAAAATAAATAAGATGATATTATAAATGGTGATCAGTGATGGGTACATCAATTACATACA